GCGCCGAGCGCGTTGGCGGCGGCGGCGCGGCGCGGAACCGCCGCCAGCAGGCGTCGCGGCCGCCAGCGCAGCTGGTGAGTCCGATGTCGCCGCCTCGGGAGCCGATGGCGCTGTGACGCGCAGGGTCTTCCTCCTCCTCCTCCTCCTCCTCCTCCTCCTACCCTCCTCCCTTCCTCCTCTTCTCTCTCCCTTCCTCCTCCTCCTCCTCCTCCTCCTCCTCCTCCTCCTCCTCCTCCTCCAGCTCTTCTGCGTGGACGCCGCTGCTTCGATAGCTGCATCCATGTGGGTCGCTCTCAGTCCTACTAGTAGAACTGTGGGGCCGGGCCCGTCGTCGTGATCCCATCTCAGCTTTTTGATCATGGTGTATGTCTGCGGGCCGGGGATGGCGACCGTGGTCGCGGCGCTGTCCGCATCGTACTGCTGGACGCATGCCCTTGGGACGATCACGAGACTCGCTAGCGTTTCTTTAACTGCCATGCGGGCGAGTGAGAAGGGGAAGGTTGGGGGGCCGGGGCCTCTTCCTGGGATTGGCGGGTTGCGTGCCAGCAGGGCCGACCGTCTCTCTTGTGTGATGTTAGGGATCTGTCGGGGTCGGCTTCTGATGGAGGGGTCGCTGTCTGCGTCCATCCTGTCTGCCGCGTCACAGGGCAGCGGCGTCCGCCCTGTCAACGCGAATCCTGGTGCTAATGGCGTTCCCGTCGTCGTCGGTGAGATAGCTCTCGGGGAAGTTCCGCGGCTCGGCTCGGTGCCCTGAGGCCCGCCAGCTGCATCGCTCCCGGGGCGCTGACCGCCGCAACCAGCTCTCGTGCGGTGGGTCTCGGAGTCGGGTCTGGTAGGTCCCTGGGGTCGGCCATCCACGCGTCGCTGTCTGTGCCAGCGACAGTGGACGTCGTTGTCGTGCGGGCGACGACGCTACCTCGGTCTTTGCGCGGCAGCCGGGGCAACGGGGGTGCTCAGGGGCCGAAATGCCGCCCAGGCCAAAGACCCCTGGTTGTGAGCCACGCCAACGCCGTATGCAAGGTTCGTGAAAGCAGTGCCCGCGCAGGACCAGAGCGTTGGCGGCAGTGCCGTGTTCTCCCCAGCAGACTAAGCAGAAGGATGAGGATAGGTTGGTCTCTCCGGTGGTTGCGCGTGGGGCAGCAGGCTCTGGGTTGAGTGCGGGTGCGGCCGCGGCCACTGCTGCACCAAGGGCCTCCCGGAGGGCTGAGGTGTCTGAGGCGGCGCAGGTGTCGTCCGTGGTTGCCACAAGGCCCATGTGCATCAGGGCGTCGTGTAGAACTTGCGGCCTGAGGCACTCGTACGCGTGGAAGGCGTCTGCCCTTTGCCCAGTGGCGAGCTCCAAGAAGCATTGTAGTTGCCAAGGCGTATGTACATCGCATCCGACGAGCCAGTTCGCGATGACTTCGAACGGTCTGGAGTGGGCACGCCTGGTGGTGAGGAGGGGCTTCAAGAGGGTTCGGAAGTGTGGTCGCAGGCAGAGCCAGAGAGCTCCCGAGGCCCACTCACCCGGTGCTGTGTCCGTCCTTTCGAAGTCGCGCAGTTCGTCTCTGAGTTAGTTGGCCTTTCCTGGGTTCAGCCTTCCCGCCTGCTCGTTCTGGCGCCTGGCCAGGTGGATGCGTTTGAGTAAAATGTCCATGGCGCAACGATGTCTCGTCCTGTCCTGTTCATTGTGTAGGTCAGTGGCGCCTCATCCTGTTCCGTCGTCGTGAGGGTGGTCGTCATCCCAGGGATGGCGTGCCATGAGTCCTGCCATTTGCGACCCCAGGCTAAGCCCCCCGCCTTCTTGCGCGGGGGCTGTCGCGGTCCTATTCCGGACCGCAGCACCCGCTTCCACAGCTTCCCGATCCCATGATAGTATTGACATCTGGAGGTGACCGTCAGGGCCCAGGTGTCCCCTGTGCCGATCTGTCAATGTAGCCTCCAGTCCGGGGGACTGGGGTGGGGCGTCCGGTTGTAGATTTCCATCGGATCGTGTGCAGCCTCGACCGATCGCACGCCCATTTCTTCCCAGTATGCAGCCGCTGTGTCAAGCGCCCGTGTGCCTGGGCTCATCCTTTGAGAGATCTGCGCGATACGTCCCTCCCCGCGGCCGAAGCGGAGTCCCAGATGCAGGTCACTAGAGTGGCACTTCAGCGGCAGAGTGGGGGGAGTGTCGCCGTCGCTACCTTTCGTGTGACGGCACGCACTTCGTTTATGAAGTCCCTAAGGCGGTCACTTTCTGCCCTGGAAAGCAGACGGGCGGGCCCCGCTTGTGCCGTGGCAGGCGCGGCGTTTTCGCGCGCTGCCCCAGACGTGTTGCTCGGCGTTAGGGTCGGGGTTGTTGTTGTCAGTCATGACTTCGTCACACGGTTGCTGTGCCCTGTCCATTCGCGGCTGCCTGATGATCGCGCGCTCTACGATGCCTCTTACTGCGTCGTTCGTGTTGAGCCTGGTGGTCAAGAGTAGGCCGTCGTCGTCGGCCATGGCGGCGAACCCCAGGAGTGCGCGTCGGGCCGACTCATTTTCGTCCGTGGACATGCCTAGGTTAATCTCGTGCCTGTCGGCGATTAGCTGGCGCCTGCAGGGACTGCTTGTGTGACGTGCATGTCGACGTTGTGCTGGAGTCAGGCCGCCTCGCCCGCTACCGGCCCGAAGTCGAGCATTCGTGCGACGACGTCGTCAGTGCCTGGAATCTGCGATCCCGTCAACGGAGGCCCCGTGTGCGAGGGCCACCGGACGGGGGGGCCAATCCGAGAGGTGATCCAGACGGCCACGACGGCAGGAGGTAGCCACCTGGCGAGGGTCACCCCGGTGTTGGCTGCGCGGAGTGCGGTGCGGAGTGTCTCGCAGATCCGGCCCGCCCAGGCAACGGGGGCGGCGCATAGCCGGGCCATGGTCTCAACGGAGCGCGCCAAATGCATCTCAGCGGGGTCAGAGTGCGTTAAAATGTTGGACCGTTCACTGAGCTCGGTCCAAGCGCCGAGAAGTTCGCAGACGAGCCACGTCGCGGAGTAGTCTACCATGTGGTCGACACTGTCGTCAAGGTGACGCGTGACGGGGGCAAATATCCGCGCGGCGTGCGCGAGGCAGGTCAGCATCTCGTTCCCCAGGAGATCGACAGGGAGCGCAGGCGGACAGTCGTGGGAGCGTCCGTTGGTTTGCCACGGGGTTGCCAGACGGACACATGCCGGGCAGTGCCCTGCCCATGGCTCTCGGAGGAACCATGACCCGCAGAAGCCACATCTGTTGTTAGGTTTGAACCTGCGTCCCATGTCGGGGTAACCGCAACGTCGTCCCAAGGCCAGGCATCGTCTGGATCGACCTGCTCGTCCGCCCGTACTTGGGCGATCCCAGGGGCCGGAACGGAACCTTCCGAAGTCATCCGTCTGGGCTGCTGCACTGCTCCCACCAGGTCAGAGGTGAAAGGGCGTCATGGCACGGGCATTGACGGCGTCGAGGGGGCCGTCAAGTGCCCGGTAGTGTTTTGCCCAGTGCAGCAGGTCCTCATGCCTGGTCCAGTGAATGGCCGATTGTCTCCGCTCGTGAATGAGGAGGTCCCGCATCCTGTGTGATAGTAGGAAGGGGCCGCGATGCGCGCCCGGGCTGGCTGGAGCGAGAAGTGGGCCTAGGGGGCCTTCGGCGTTCGAGGAGCGGCCTCGGGGGTGGTTCCTGTGTCGACCGCCCATGCCGCAGCAGAGGGGCGCTTCCCGCATGAGGTGGACTTCTCTGTCGACCGCAGCTTTTTCCCCAGGGCTGGGGGCTTCGCAATCCAGTGGGGAGGTTTGGTCAGCGTCGCACGTGTCTACCAGCTCACCGAATCTCACGGCGAGTAGCTGTGCCAGTTGCGGTCTTGCCCCGCCCAGCCTGCCCTCACTGTCCTCCTCGTTTGCCGACCTTGCAAGTCCCATGAGGTCCATGAGCATCAGGACGTTGGTGCACGGTGTGGTAGGGCCGGCCTGCTGAGGCGGGTGTGGCGCTGGGGGACGGGGCGTCATTGGGGAGCCAACCTGCTGAAGACTGGGGTGGCCTTCTGGGTGCCGCTTCCAGGCGAAATGTATCATGAGCTGGAGTCGGAAAGTGGCTTCGTGGAAACGTGGCTGCGATCCCGCGTCGCTCGTCCAGAGCCCGCGTGGCGCTGGCGTCCCCTCCGTGAGATCCTCAATCGTGGGTCCGCCACCTGGCCCGCGGCAGCGCGCGTTGGTCGGGCCGTATCTTGGGCCGATGGGAATGTGGGAGCGGGGAGCTGGCGGTCCGCCGCCGAGCGCGCCGCTACATAGCGTGTCGAACCGAGCGGCGAGGACGAGGGGGGTAGAGCGGAGGAAGAGGGGAGGGTGCGGGGGAGTCGCGAAGGGGTCCCGATCCCAGCCCGAGCGCGAGGCCGACCTGGCTGATCGCAGACGGGCCGATCCGTTCCTACCCTGCCGTCCTCTCGTGCCGGAGGCAGAGCGGGCGTTCCTCTGGCGCCCAGCGGTGATCGTGTGGGGGGGGGGCGCGCGGGGTGGATCCGTCTGGTGGTAGGGCCCGATCCCCCGCGATTTCCCGCCCCATGTCGTCATTGCCGCTGTGCCCGTCGCCGGGCGCAGTGGCGGCCCGTCCGTGGTCATCGTCCGTGGGCGACTCCTGCTCGGCAGGGCGCCGTCGGGGAATGCCCCGTCGTGCCGCGCGTCTCGTGCCCCACCTTGGCCCGCAGGAGCTGCGATCCTGGAGGGGGGACGTGGGCGTCGGCGGGGGACGTCGGCGTGGGCGGAGCGGAGGCGTCGGAGTTTTGGGGGCCCCCCCCAAACGGGGCGGTGACCACACCGCGCGGTGAGTCGGTGGGGATTCGGGGTCACCGCACGGTTTTGGGACTCGGGTCGTTCTCCGAGGACGTCTCGGGCGACTGGGGCCTCCGAGGTCCCAAGACCGTGCGGTGACGGACCGTGCGGTGAGGTCTTGGGGGATTTCGAGGTCACCGCACGGTCCGTTATGGTTTGCATTTCTTTGCATTGCTTTTCATTGGTTTGCATTGCTCTGCGCCGCACAGATTGCACCACCTCGATTGCACCACATTGATTGAACCACTTAGATTGCATCGATAGAAAGAGGATGGGGGAGGAAGAGGAGGATGAGGCGGAAGGTGGTCACAGGTTGGATGAGAAGCAGGAGGCGGAGGAGGAGGAGGAGGAGGAGGAGGAGGAGGAGGAGGTGGTGAAGGACGGGGAGGAGGAGGGGGAGCAACCGAAGGAATCGGATGACGAGGGAGAGAAAGTAAGCAAACATGATGGTGCTACTGCTGAAGCTGATGCTGCTGCTGATGCTGCTGCTGATGCTGCGGCCGATGCTGCTTTTCATGATGATGGCGGTGGTGATGTTGACGATGATCATCGTGCTGCTGCTCATGCTCACGATGCTCACGAACATTCTGTTGCCGGTGGTGTTGGCCGACCCCGCCGGGCCCCTCCGAAGAGGCCAACTGCAACTTCGCCACCCCGAGCGACCGCGGCATGCCCTCGCCCGCGCCGCCCTGGGGCTCGCTGCCCTGGTGCCGGGCTCGACGGCAAGTCCTTGTCGACGTCGTCGTCGTCGTCGTCGTCGTCGTCGTCGTCGTCGTCGTCGTCTTCGCCGTCGCCGCCGCTGGCCTTTACTGGTCATCACGACTGTGCTGGCTGCCCTGGCGGCCGGCTCGACTTCAGGTCGTCGCCGACGTCGCTGTCGTCGGATCAGGGCCTGCTGCGGTCAGAGGAGGAAGAGATGTACCGATGCCGTTGCGTGCCGTGGCGGCCTGGGAGCGCGCCCGTCTGGGGCGGACGGCTGGCCGAGCACACCGGTTTGACTACCAGCACCAGGATCGGGAACGATCCACGATACGATCTGAGGTGCAGTTCTGCTCTGGTGAAAACCGAGCTGTTTCTTTGGGTGGAGGGCAAAGGATGAAGTCTGAAATGCCGTTTCCATGGATTTTCGAGGCTCGACTCTGCAAAAGGTGAATCACAAGACGGATTGATTTTCGAGGTGCAGAAGCCCAGATGGATTTCACCCTGAGCCTTCCACCCTAAGAAAATGCTAAGGAAAACCCCGCGGCTGGAACAGGAGAAGGGACAAGTTGTGGGGCAGTGCGCACGGAAGCGTGCGTCCCTCTTCTGGAGGCGCCTCGAGCACAGCTGCACTCGAAGGAGGAAGAGAAATGGAAGGGGGACTTGTGGCTCAGGCTAGCGTTAAGTCGGGCGTGTTCCTCTGCTGGAGGAGTATTCAAAATTTTGTTCAAACATAGTCTGGAGACGATTTTTGTTGAAACTGTTTTTTGATAACTCAAATATTTGTGTGACATTTTTATTTTTTCGTCAAAAAATCCGCCTGTACGGGGACATGCCCGACCTAAGGCCAGCTTCGCAAGCCTCCCTGGTCAAAGGGCCAACCAACCGGCATGCCAGGGCGTCCGCATGATCCAGTCTCTGTCCCCTCCTGGCACGGCCTCTGGCGGCCTCCGAGTCCCGCCTGCCAAGGTCCGCTATGACATTAACCATTTGGCAACCGTTGGACGCACTGCAGGACGACAGCACGACATCTTTCAGAACGCTCTTCAAGATGAGTAGCGACTCTCACGCGAATGTGAAGACTTTCATGCACACGGGGCAATGCGCCACGTCAGCAAGCTCGTGTGTGCGCCGTCTCACGCCGTACACAGTGAAGGCATGGGTTGCCACCTGCTGCCAGAAGGCACACGTGTAGGAACAAGCCTGGTCAGCGAAAGCCGCTCCCCTCCTCTCATCACCACCGTCGGATTCGCTTCAAAATCCTGGTCAGAACGCGCCCAGGGAGAGGTCCGTGGAGTAGCCGTGTGGGTACCTTTTGTGCCCCTCATGCTGGAGGTTTATGATTCGTTCGTCGCCTCGGGAGGCCTCGCCTGGAAGCCTCCAGAGGCTGCTGGAGACTGGGGTCTTCAGGAGGCTGCCCGGGACTTCTGCAGACTTCTGGCGTAATCGTTTTCGTCGTCAGGGCCGGGGTCGTCGTTAACAGGAGGGGTAGGAGGAAGGGGGGGTGGAGGAGGATGAGGAAGAGGTGATGGGGAGGTCCTGCGTCTCCTCCTGCAGCCTCCCTCTTTCGCTTTCTCCCCCTCCCCCTCCTTCTTTTTCCTCGCTCCTCCCTCCCTCGTTCCGTCCCTCCCTCCACTCCCTGCATTCATGTCTCCATCCCCCCTCCCTCCCTCCCTGCCTCCCTCCCTCGTCGTCGTCGTTGTCGTTATCGTCGTTGTCGTCGTCGTCGTTATCGTCGTTGTCGTCGTCGTCGTCGTCGTCGTCGTCGTCGTCTTCGTCGTCGTCGTCGTCGTCGATCGATAGAGGATCGATTTTTCGGTTTTCCCAAATTTGCTGCCCCTGTCCGGGCCGTTTTCCGGCCCGGGTCATCAATAGGGGGCCCGGGGTAAGAGATTGCCCCTGGGATGGAGTCGATATTTCCTGGGCGCGTCGTCATCTTCGTCCTCGTTCTCGTCTACGTCCTCGTCGTCATCACCGTCGTCGTCGTCGTAGGAGGAAAACGAGGATG